GGCTAGGGCGCTGCGCAGGGGGTGGGGGTGTTGTATGTTGCGCGTCGTGAGGCGCGCGTTGGCGAGGCGAGGCGGGACTCAATGCGAACAAGCGGGCGGCATGCGCGTGAGTCAGGCCTTGCAAGCCGTCGGCAGCACGACCTCTAGAGCCATCCCCCACCAAGGAGTGTTGGCCTCTGTCGTGCACAATGGGCGCCTGTGCACAACGGGCTCCGGGCGGGGCGGCAGCCAGACAGATGCATGCGCACGCAACTCAGCATTACAAGCGCGCTGAAACGTGCATGCAAGGGCGCGGCTGAAGCGCACCACTTCTTGAACTTGGGGTAGTACTCTGGGTCATGACGGTCGCACACCTCCTTGTAGGTGCCGTGGAAGTGGCGCATGTCCTCCTCCACGATCCAGTTGGGGGTGATGTCGGTGCCGCCGCCAAACCACCACTGCCCGGGGATACCGTTCCAGGCCTCCGTCTCAAAGTACCTGTGCTGTTGCAGGCGGGGCCAGGGACGATTATGAGCAGGATGCGCAGCTAGAAGGGAAGAAGTGACAAGTCAACGAAGCCCAAGCATGGCGTCAGCAAACAGCCGTGGGAAGCGTTAGTGGGAGCATGTGTGCAAGCTGTACTTGTTGCATGCAGGGCGGGAACAATGCGCTGGGCCAAGCCCGCGAGCCGCTGATGACCTGTAGTTGAAATGCATGGTCGGGCAGTGCGGGTTCTTGGGGTGCATCACGCTGCTGATGCCCGCCGCGAAGAACGGCACACGGCTGCGGGAGCGCGGAGCGGCAGGGCAAAGATGAGAGGGCCACGAAGGTGGGGGGATGATGGAGCAGGGAGCATTATCAGCAAGCGGGTGCGGGCACTGGGCAGCAAGGGGAGCACAGCCTCGCTCAGTGAGTGGGCGGCTGTGCTCTTGCCTGCTGCCTTGAAGGATGATGCCACAGCACGCACACACGGCCAGGCAGCGAGCAGACTCACGCAGTGGTACGAACAAGGCACCCTGCTGTCTGCCCCCAAACTTCGATGCGCAGTGGCCACCATGAGGTGGTGGACCGCCGCCTGCTGAACCCTGCACCTTGGCGGGCTGCCCACCTGGTGTCCCCCGAGTCCTTGACCTGCTTCATCAGGTCGGGGTTGCCGCTGGCGGCGCGGTACGCCTCTGGGGGCATGGAGCCGTACACCACACTCACGGCGATGCCCGCCTGACGGGCGAGATGGCGGGGCGAGTGGGTGCATGGTTTGTGGCAGGTGGGGAACGAAGGGCAGAGGGACAACAAGCACGACAGCGTGGCCTGCTCAGGAGTGAGAGAGCGCTTTGGTGTGCTTCCCGCGCGAGCACGCTGGCGCTGCAGGCCCAGTGTCCGTCCGCTCGCTGGCAGGGGCGTTGCATGCGCGCCCACCCGGCTGCTGGTGCACCAGCCGGCCCAGCCCCACCTTTTCCCACACGTTGCCGTCCTGCAGGACGCGCGTGATGCCGCCGCCGCCCTCCTGGCGCACCCAGGCGTCCTGGCGGAACTTGGTGCCGTCGATCTCCTCGATCGCGGCGCAGATGGAGTCCTGGGCGCCGCGGATCATCTTCTCAAAGCGGAAGCGCATGCTGCAGTCGGGCAGTGCGGCGTATTGGTGGCGAGGGGTAGGTGAGGGTTTGGGATGGTAGATGGACCGCAACAAGACCGCAAAACAAGCTGTCCACTTGCGTGGACTGGCGTTGGAGCCCGGGCAGCCCAGGGTGCTCCTGCTGTACGGCTGCCGCCAGGGCAGCCCACAACCGACGCCGCGGTGCTCACGTGTCGGGCGTGTCCAGGTCAGGGCGGGTCAGGGTTATGGGAGGCATCTCCACAGTGGTGGCCTTGCCACCCAGGCCGTTCATGGAAGGCTGCTGCGAGACAACAATTGGAGATGGCCGTTGTCGCACTCCGGGATTCGACGAGTTGTGCTGGGTACACTCCACCGCGTATATTCAAACTCTTAATGACAATGATACCATTTGCGACTCACCTTCTGCATGGTCGCCGCGCGGGCCACGACGAACCGGTTGCTGCTGGCAGCACGCACGCCAAGGCGGGCTTTAGAGTGAGCCAACAGGGCCATGATATACTTGGAAGGAACTTGGTGCTCTAGGTTACGGTCGTGTACGCAATGACAAGCACTTCGATTATGCAGTCAGCACGCAGCACGATTGCAAGTGTGAAGAACAGCAACAAACCAGGGTGGAGCTTTGTATGTATTTAAGACATTTGTGCAGTCGCACGTCTACTTGAGATGCAGTCACGTCTTCGCTGCCTCCTGGGCTGTCGAGTGCACGCAGCACGTCGCAGTAGATCTTACAGATCTTGACGTACCAGACGCTCAATAGCATGAAACGTAAGTATGAGTACGCCTAACTCGGCATTCAACTGCTCTAATGCACGGCCGTCGCCGAATGTGTTGCGTGCCCTCACCATGGCGCACAGGGCAGACTCACCGCCGTCGTGCCACTGAGGAATTGCGACCTCATCAGGGTTCGGGATGCTTGGTGGTGCACATACCTGCGCGAGTTGGTCTATCAGAAGAATGGAATGATCCACATGGAGGAGTGGATACTAACTCTGCAAATCAAGGGCTTCGCATGTAAGCTCTGCAACCACCCACTAGCTAGCAACCATGCCCACTGTTGTCAACTTATAAGCATCGACCTTGCATTGACGGAAAATTTCCCTCCCATATGAGGTTGAGTAGCTGAAGCTTGGGCAGGCAACGCAAACGCAAAAATTCAAAGCTGCAGGCGGCGAGGCGGCTCGTTAGCCGCGCACGCAGGCTGAAAGCGATCCTGTACGGACCAGCGGCAGCGCGGGTCTGTTTCTGCAATAATGGCTTTTGAGCATGCATGCGTGTGAGGCATGCCCTAATTGAGATGTTTGCAGGCTTGGCATTGCAGGAGGGCTTGGGGTCGTGGTGAGAGAAGTGGTTCGACATCGAATTTGGATGCTGGGCATTTAGTTCTTGCTCATTTATTTGATTGCCAATCACGATGAGGCGGCCCTGATCTGTCACCAAGGGTTTTTGTTACATCGGTCTATATAGAATGACAGTGCCAAGCCCTTCCTCAATCATCAGGCATGTATTGTTGTGCACCTGATCCTAGAGCTGCATCGCACTGCTGCCCACGCACCACGGGCGCCCTGGCTCATTCAAAGTGGGCCCAACACAAACAACACCCACTGCGCGCGCTGGCTCGTTTTGGGTGGGCGCGACGCAAGCAATGCTGCACATTCTGGTGCCGTGCATAGGGAACGCCAAGGGCTGGGTGCGTGGGCATGATATCCCGGCTTGGTCGAGGCAGGCTACTCATCGTCAGGGCGGGGGTGTGCACCGGCGGCAATCACTGGCGGCCGCAGTGCCAACCCCACAACTCTGGGTGAACTGTATGTGTGAAAGCACACCATCTACCGTCACCACAAGGAGCGTCAGCATCCAGACAGCAACTCACTGAGCGCAGCCACAAGGTGCGAGCAGCGACACTGGGCGCAAGTGAGGTTGATACGATTTCAGACGCGAACGCACACGGACCTGCGGCAGAGGCGGCGCATCGAGCCCACAAGCCCTGGGTGGGGCGCGCACCAATGTGCTGGACCGGAGCTCGCAGGCTCGCACACTCCAGGCAGCAAGGGGTGCATTATGCTGTGGAGCCACAGGCGCAGAAGCGAGTGTAGCGGAGTATGGGCACGCTCTCCCAATCACACAGTTGCACGAACAGTATGTATACGTATCAATGCCATCGTGTATCCGCGTGGCGGAGGGACAGGGTGTGTGTTTGGGCCATCCATTCCCAGCAGGGCAAGGGTTGCCCGCTCATCACCACACAGTGCTGCCGGTGCCGTCGGTGTGAATCAGCATTACGAAGTTGCAAAAAGGATTGCAGGCACAAGTGATATAGAAGTATGTTCTACCTGCACATGGTGGCTTGAGCTACGCATGCACATGCGCACAGCGAGAGCGCCCGGACCTTGCCAAGAACTATGGGATTTGGACTGCATCACGGCGGCACCAAACAATGGCCGCCCTCCTCCAAAACCAGCGATGACCGAGACAAAAGCAAGGTGGGGCAGGCGATTGCGTGCGTCGGCGACCGCCTTCATCTCCGTCGCCGCTGGGCAGGGGTTGCCGTTGCCGACAGTTTGTCATCTTCCAGCCACCTGCGGAACACAAAGGTCCACTTCTTGCCGGTAGAGGGCGCCTCGACCACCACCGTGTCCAAGAACCATCCGGGTGCAATACCAGAGCCGTCCGAGGTTACTCGAATGCGTTTGATGTCCCCGAGGTCTGGGGCTTGCTTGAAATTGAAGGCCAGAGTCCGTCCCATGCTGCGCGACGAGGGCGCAGACACGGGTCCTGTGCGTGCAGGGTGGTGGGTGGGCTGTGGTCTACAGAGTGGCTTGTCTGGGGGAGAGCAGTTCTCCAAGTGCAGGACACGAACATCAGCTGCAGGCAACCCAAGATTAAAAAACCCAGCGACGGGCAATTCCAGAAGGGGGGGCTTGTGCCCGCCCTGCACGCCCCTTTTGGTCCCTGCCGCCTCAAGCTACCACCTGCGGAGATGCAAGCACGCTGGTGATGCCACCCACCATAAGAACCCTTGTCCCCTTCCAGGACGTACGTCACTGCGCTTTCAGTGCCGGCAAACGCCAAGGTGCCCGTCGCCTCGTACATCCTAGGGAGCACGAGTGGCATTTGAGCAAGGGGGAAGGGGGTTTTGCGGGTATGTGAGGTCGTGGGGCGCAGGGCCGGCAATCGAGTGTGCAATTCACCGAACGTCCAGCCTCGGGGTCTGTACTCGGGCCGGGGTCAAGAGGTGCGTTGCCAGATGCCAGACAACGCGTCGCCCGGAGTGTTTGGAAACACTCGGTGGGAGGGAGAGGGGGCGGCGGCCAGCATTGGGATGATGCTTGCAATTGCGTTTGCAGATATCTATATGAGTTGCAGGCCCAAATCCCCATCTGAGTTGCAGGCCCAACCCAGCAGACTCTCACTTGTAACCCCCCCATGGCGTCAAAGCGGCGGGCGCCGCGGCTGCGGCGGGCGCGGCAGGCGGCGTGGGTGCGGTGGAGGCCGGCTGCGGGGCGGTTGCTGGGGCCGCGTCCACAGCCCCCGGGAGGAACGCTGGTCCCGTGCCCTGCGACTCAGCTGCCGGCGCCTGCTGCTGCTGCTGCTGCTGCTGAGGCTGTTGCTGCTGCTGCTGCTGCTGCTGCTGCTGCTGCTGCTGCTGCTGCTGCTGCTGCTGAGGCTGCTGTGCTGCCGGGGGAAAAGCCAGAGGAGGGCGGTCACCGCCACCAGTTGGAAAGTTTCTTGTTGGGTTGCAGACTGCCACCAGCTGTCCTGGCTTTAGGAAGGCCAGGGCGCGGAGTCCGGGGCCGATGATGGGAGTGGCCTCGTTGGATGCCAGCAGCTCCCCTGCGGCAGGAGGGCACAGTAGCAATCGCTGCATGTTTTATGCGGGTGTGGGGCTATTTGTGATCGTGAGCGCATGCAGTTTTCTTTTCGCGTGTGCATCACTGCACAAGAATTTGGTGTGTTTGTGTGTGTATGCGCGTGCGTGCTTGCGTGTGATTGCGTGCCTGCATGTGTGCAGGTCCGAACGCAAGGACAACGTTAGGACCCAAACTGGGAAGTATGCGCCCTGAACATGCTATGCAGCGTGAGTGACAGCCACCAACGGGCATCATGTCTTCGGGCATCAGCCCAGCCATGTGGCAGACTTAGACAACAAAGTGCAGCGGGGTTCATCTAACACTCGGGTGTGCCGCCAACACCTCAGCTTGACATTGCAGGACAAGATGACATATGCGTTCCCATGAGGCACCATCGCGTGCAAGCACTCACCGAGGGGCACACCGTACATGTCAGCGATCTGGCCAGCATAATTCGCTGCCCCAGCCTGTGGGGAGGTTGGTCGTTTGTGTGTGTGTGTGTGTGTATGTGTGTGTGTGTGTGTGTGTGTGTGTGCGCGCGCGTGCGTGCGTGCGTGTGTGTGGGCGCGCGTGCGTGCGTGCGTGTGTGTGTTTTGTGTGTGTGTGTGTGTTGTGTGTGTGTGTGTGTGTGAGTTGTGTATGTTGTGTGTGTGTGTGTGTGTGTGTGTGTGTGTG